TTCAGCAACCACGGTTACTACCCCTCTTTTGTGTCCCAAAGATAAATCGAATTCAATCCCTTTTTCTGAAATTTTTAATTCGCCAATGAAATCGTTTCAAAGATGGTAACACACAGAAATCCCACTGCGATCGTTTATCATCCATCGATCTTCACAAATTTTTCCTAAAACGAGACTCGATATTCAGCAAAATCGTTGCAAAAACCACCGTTTTACCATCCCTCTCTCGTGTCCCAAAGATACGAATCGGATCGAAACGCTTTCTCTCGAATTTCTAATTCACCGGTGGGATCGTCGCGGGAATGGTAACGCGTAGAAATCGTATCGGGATCGTTTGCCAATTGCTGGTACGTGAATCAATCTGAGCGAGGCGTCGCGTCGCGGAAGGAAAGCGGCGTGGCCAGAAAATCGGGGAACGATCGACGCATAAATCGTTACTCGTGGCCAAGACAGCACACGAGGAGGGCAAGAAGGGGGGAAAAGGAACGGTGCATTAAGTAAAAACGAAAGCACGCAGTGAAAGCAAACTTGTAGGACCATGTAAAGTACACGGCTGATAATTACGGCGCCGAGTTGTAAAACGTTAATAGAGGGGAAAAATTAGATATGGCGCATGCGTGTCGAGTAATTCCCCCGGGTAATTCAGCCAAGACCGGCGGGCCGCGATTGTTTGTTTATTAACAGCTCGCGATTCTCTGCGCGAGCCTCATTGTCTTGGACTAATGATACGCCTGGATACGGCAGTTAAGAGAAAATGAGACAATTGTTTCTTCGTCCCGGTAGGCGAATGCATCACCGATCGATGTTTCTTAGATCGCTGCTACTATGTAACGCGAAACCATTGGTTGATATAATGGAAAATGGGGAAATTAAAAAAGGTGGGCGTACAATACGAGGAATGTGATGATTGTTTCGTTGGTGTGAGATTTTTTTAAAATAACGAAATAATTATTGGTAATTATTGTTAGGAAAAAATAGTGGAGATCAAGTCTTTTAAAAAATATATGAGGAAGAATGATTATCGGTTGAAAATATTTTAAGCTCATTTAAGTACGTTTAAAAGGTGAGTTTAAATGTAATTTACTTTGTACGTTAAGAAATGCAATAATTTTTTGTAGCAGTTTAATGAAAAAGAGAGAAAGAAATGTAAGAACAAATGATTGCAAGTTGGAAACGTTAAGTTCTAGGTTAGCGAATACATTAAGTGTACATTACTTAAAAGGGGATCGTGAATATAACGTTGTTTCAAAATTAAGAAACGCAATAATGTTACCGTCTCTTGCTATTTCTCTACTTGATCGATGTTAATGTCACACATTTTTATCTCACCATTATTCATTCTGGACATTGAAATTGAGATACGTGACCGATAAAGGATCGATCCTTGAATCTCGATCAGCAGCGCCAGCTTCTGCATTACGTTTTCTACTTTCAACCTCCACTCGCGACAACTATTTGTCTTCATTTGTTCCATGCTGCTCATTGATCGTGGCAGAATAAGGTCTCCTTAGTATAAATTCCTCCAACTCGATGGTACAAAAGGCGTTTTAAATGGAACATTGATTAATCCTGTTAGATATCATGGATCCTAGGAAATCTTCGTCAAAGAAGAAAATTTGACTATCAAGCGTAATTCTGAAAAAAAAATGATTACCAGAGTGCGTTTGAAAAATGTTACGATAAAATTGGAATGAACATAAAGCGTGTCTCACTAAATTTCAATTCACTTTAGATACCGAGTTACTTAAAATTAAACAACGTAAGTAAAAGTACGATAAAGTCCAAGCTAATGACAATAATCTCGGTTCCTTCTATCAGACGCATCATTCTTCCATTTAATTTATACATCGCCAGCCTGATTTCTTCATCGCCAGCGTTGCAACGCCGAAGAAAAAGTACTTCTATCACAATGAAACGATTGGAAAGTCGTCGAAGCTAGTTTTGAGAAATTACAGCCCACGATAATTTTACAGGGATAGCCGATAAAACTTAATGCGACGCCGTGTCTTCCTCGCCTCGATCCTTTGAACGCGGCTGCGTAACCTGTTCTGGAATCATTAGATTCAATCTAGACACACTGTGATCCCTGCAATGAAACGGAAGGTATCGATTCCCGATGGAAACTTAAGTACATTCTACCTACCATAGACTTGCATTCGACGCATTCCCCAATATTCGATAATTATAATGGAGCATTAATTATGATAAATTCGTTTTTCGAAGTGACGATCTATGGATCCACTGGTTCGTAGATAATTACCACTTATTATAACTTATTACTTACACGTTAATAATTTTTTGAGAAATATTTTTCCCTTTTCCAATCTCTTCCTTAACCATTCAACTGGAATTGATTTCAACTGGAATTAATTCGTCATGAATTTTCGAAAACGACGATCGATCGATTTGGAAGGAAATCAAATTTCGTAACTCGACGATTGGAAATTAAACTTCAAATGAGCGATAATAATTAAACGAAAGTTATATCCCGTGCAATCGACTTTAATGGTAAGCTTTAACATTTAGATAATATTCTACGTGGGCAGATAAATCAGAAGCTTTTGGCGATCAAACAAGCTCGTAGATTTAAGAAATCCAATTAAGATCTCATATCGATGGATTAGAATTACAATTAAGAATTCGCGCTTGCAGCTAAATTATCTCGCTAACGGCCAATTTTCCACTCCACCTACTTATCAATTTTGATACACTCAGACGGTTCTGTAGGTGCACTCAGAGGACGATTTTAAATTCTTTATCTCTAACCACGACTCACTGCGGCGCTAATCTCCGGTATCCTAGCCGCCTTCTAATCGAAGCAAGGCCCATTCTTGCCGCCGTATCTGGTTCTGCTCGCATTTTAATAACAGACGAGGTTTTTCCGCCGCGCAGACATCATCGATCGACCGTGTCGATTTTCCGCGATTGTCCTAATTTATCGCCGGACTCGCCGTTATCGGAGCGTGGCTTATGGAACTAGTCGTGCTAACCACCGAGACGTTAATGTACTTAATCCGTCCTCCGCGTGCGATGGAAAATGAATTCAACGATGCAAAATGAATACGATCGTTCCACCGCCAGTTTCTTGCGTTTCCTAGTCGATCCAACGTACGATTTCCTCTTTCGCGAACTCTCTCTGTACGTGTGCAGAGAGAGAATACGCGGCCTTTTCTATCGTCGCACGCAATCGTCCCGTGCCCCTTTGGCATCGAGAGTTTTGCAAGAATCCGCAATCTCGGCCGTACATTGTATCTCGAAAAGCGATACACTCGTATATAGTTCGGAGTTTATTGCACCGGTAACAGATGGAGCGCGCGGATATCGCGGCCTCTCCCGGACGTCGCGAATTTGCAAATTATAAAGGGACGATAAGGCACCACGGGTAGATACAGCTCGCTCTGATTGTATTCAAAATCGCATTGTGCTCCGAGAAGATTAATGTTATCGATAGTTTATGGATATCTGTTAGCCGGTACGCGTGTAGGAATAGGGTGTACTTTGGTACATTGCTTCGGAGGAGGCAGTAGATACATCTTCTTAGCGAGGGAGATATATGTTTGTGTGCTAAATAGGGGTATCTATCTTGCCAGTGATAGAGCAACGGAATATGCTTAGATCTTAACCTTTTGTAAAGAATTCGAAAGGTCATCCGAGAAATCTCTGTTCGTTTCTTTTTCATAAATTGATAGTTTATTTTAGAATGAGGAAAGGAACGGCGACAAGTAATATCGTGGTAACCTTTCGCAGGCAAGCTTGGAGACACGAAGTTCAGTATTGCGAAAATAATATTCGATTACAGTGTCATACGCGTGTCGTAAAACGCGTTAAAAGTGCAGATGAAAGCTAGTTGATTTATAGAAGACACCTCGAGGCATTCGAGTCTTTCGTGAACCTGACACTTGCCCAACCTTGCGTCACCGTGCAATTCCATCACGCTCGTCAGCTCCATCTACCCTGCGGACGCGTCGCGTAACTCAGCAGCGCCATCTGAGCGATCGCGCGGCCATTGTGCGTGAGAGCCATCGTAACATCGGTGATTTCGCGTGTTTTCGCGGGAAAATGATACGACGACGAATTATAGCTCGATCGCGTAATTATTCGTAACTCCGCCTTCCGAATAGGCGGTGATTAATGGCGCGACGGTAATTTCGGGCAACCACGAGGCGTTAGGTTCGCGGACGAAACCGCGAACGAGTGCCCACGTTGTCGTTCGACCAACGTGATCGTCGAAGTATGGAAATTTTATGTAACTTTGCGGTACACGATCAGCGACACCTTGAATGTAGCCTTGGGGCGTTCGATCGTTTTACTTTGAACGAACCGCACGTTTATTCGCTTGCCTTTACTACTTGATATTTTATTGTTGCATTAGTGGTCGAACTAGCTTAGATAATCTGAATTTATAAGACCACGAGAAATTCTATGCCCGAACAGAACCTGTCAGCCGCTGCAGAGAATCGGGATTAGTACAATGTTCCCTCAAGTTGTTTTCTACGGCTCGATTCTGTAACACGTATTTGCTACAACTGTATTGCGAGCTGGTAATAAATGACGGGACTGTCGAGATTGTATTCGAGATTATGAATGAAAATTCCAAGGGATATTTTTTCAGAAGTATTTTCTGAGTCTACAGCAATCGTGTCGCTGTGTGCGTGAACGCGAAATCAATTTGCTTTGTGCGATTTATCCGTGAACGAAATATAATTCGACGTGACTTGGTTAGTATCGGTATGGTATTCATTGGACAAAATTTTGTAGGCGTGAAAGTAACAAAGTGTAATTTACAAATTCGAAAATCGGATGTGCAGATATTTATGGAGAATACAGTAGCGAGAGAATTTAACGTGCTGTAACTTTTCTATTTGGTATAAAAGAATATGAGAGAATAAGAATGCAAAACACTCTTTGCATAACATAACTCCTAGCTTTGACACCCTGCGGTACCCTCACCGAATAGTCTCACTCAACTCTGTAACATCCAAGTCACTGCCAACCAAGTCATGTCCTACAAGAGAACGAATGTAATTACTGAACCAATGATATTCAAAAAATTATGTATAGGGTATCTAGATAGACCTACAAGTAATCAAATCACTGTGACTTTGATTCATGGGGTAGACAGCAATTAAGCAACTATTCTAATAAGAAGGGAAAGAAGAGTTGCAACTTAAAGAAGTTGATGATAGATCTTTAACTATGCGTAAATATAAAATTCAAACAAAGTTTAAATATCTTCGTATTCAATTATATCACTGAATTATATAAATATTTACATTGTTAAAAAATTCTTTGAGCAAAGGTTTATTCTTATATTTGCTTTATCGATTTTAGAAATTAAATTCTATACGTGGTCGGTATTTCAGAACATAGAGCTCAGGGTCCTCTGACATGATCCAATTTCACTCATTGTATTGCAATCGCTCTGAATTTTATCAACGAATGATCACATCGTTAATTATGCACAGTCAAAAATGTAGGAATCCCGGTATAATTGATCCAAGAAAGGCGTTTCATTGAATTTTATGTAATCGATTCTCAACAATTATTGTTGCAAATATCGTAAATTTTAATCCGAGCGTTTGCGAATCGTGCGAATTTGTCTTACGCCAATTTTATTCTAATAAACGATTCATAAAAATTTCGAATTAAAATATCGATAATCGGCGAGGAAGGAATCCGACTACAGAAACAGTAGAGTGAAATAAACCTTGCGAGACATCTTGCTTTCAATTTAAAAAGCTAGGTTAATTATTTGGTATTACACATTTAAACTTCACCATGTACTTTTTATTTAATTTCTTCCTCCAGCGAAAATAATTAATTTTTACAGTGCAAAAGGACGGATTAATAGAACATTTTTCTAAGGAAAGATATATCAATTTTTAGTACCATTAATAGTGTTCACGTCTTATATTATTCACAGTTATAAACAAACTTCATAATGAACAATATACGTGATCCCAGGAAGCGAAAATTTGGACAGAATTTCTACATGATGCAACGTGGATTGGAAGAATAGTTAAATGTATTTGGACCAAGATTACAGACGGAAAGAGGTTTTATAGTTAAGAGAAAATCCCAGGAGACCGATTTTATGGGCAATTGTATAAAGCCTACCGATCCTCTGGTTGACTCTCTTCCAAAAGGCATCAATGTCGACACCACAGCGATCAAAGAATCAGGATTACCGATCATTTTCGTGATTGGAGGGCCAGGAGCTGGAAAAAGTTACTGAATTTATTTCCATTCAACATAGTACGAAATTGCTACTCGCATAACCTAATAGTCCCATTATCCTTTGCCTAACTTTCCACAATTTTTATTCTATTTTCCAAGCTAGAAATTCGAGAAATTGAACGCTTTTTGCAATCATTAAGTGGTGACTAGTGACTATATTTATTATTAAAATAAGATTGTACAAAGAGAGCAGTTGATCGAGTAATGTATACGTAACGAGAAAAAACAGTTCCAAAGAATTCTCCTAATTGCTTCCTCTGACCCTCGCTACGAAGCTCGACACAGCTCTGCCTTCTTGGGAGGATCGTCCCTCGTTTTCTCTAATTTTCCCCAAAAACTCCTTTCAACCCTTCGGTCGCCGAAAATATTGCAAATTCATCGGTGGACTGTTCGTCGACGAACCTTTTCCCGATGAATCTGGTTCCCACAGCGTCCACTCGCTTTCACTGCTTTCCTCTTTTATAGCCCTTTCCTGCCTAGGTCCTTAAGCCTATCGTTACTCTGACTTTTACGTGCCCATAAAAGCACAGAAAGTTTGGTCGAAAAATTCAGAAAAAAAATGAGGAAGGTTAGGCGAATTTTTCCGTAACTCGTAATGGATCATTCCAGGAACCCTGTGCAACAAGGTGGCAGAGAAATACGGTTTCGAAGACATAATATGCGCGGATGTGTTACGAAGCGAGGTGTCCAGGAGAACGGATAAAGCCTTCGCGTTGGCGCGTTTAATATCGAGGGGTCAACTGGTTCCATCGGACATATTAGTGGAATTGATTGCGATAAGGATGCTGGAGCAATTAAACGTGAAGAAAGGGTTCATCGTGGCAGGTTTTCCACGGCAGAAGACACAGGGCCAATTGTTCGACAAAGAAGTGCGACCGCCCGATCTCGTTCTGTTTCTGAACGTTCGAAACTCGGTTATGAGCGACCGGATAATGGCCAGATACGTGATAGCCACCGAGAGATTGCTGATTAATTTCGATTACATCAAGTGTCAGATCAAGGATTTCCATAAACGGAACAAATCGATTCTCAAGTACTACAGCAAGCTTTTGGTGGCCATCGACGCTGAGCATGACGCAATGACCGTGTTTAAAAACGCGTGCGAGGTTATCGATAAGGTTTTAGCCAATTTTCCAGCCTATCAAACGAGCATGCCAGCGACATCCGCCGATGTCGGTCCCATAGCTCCGCAATAATAGATTTCATATTAAGAGTGTTTATGTTTGTATGAAACATTTTTATATATAAACGAGACTAACACGTGGTTTGAGCGAGACTTTTATCAGGGTGTGTTACGTGGAAGATTTTTAGTTTGGTTAGATGTAACGTAGATGTTAAGTACTAGTAATGGACTTACAGTAATTAGACGTTCATTGTCAATTTAAGGAAAAAATTATTTAGACTGGGAATGGGTAAGCATGTCTTTCGAATGATATCGAGCAATAAAATAACCATTAATTATTAACCATTCGCCTACAATATCGTGTGAGACTCGTGGTATGGACAACGGGCCAAACGTGACTATTACGGGTGAGAGACGTGATTTGGCCCATCGTCATTCTCGTGGTTAATTTTCGTAAATGTTTTCCTGCCTCAGTTGCGTGTTATCCTTCTTCGCTTTCGCAAATAAAATGGCTCGACGTGTGATTGACCTTGCTGTTCACTATGACACGCGTCATTGGAACTTAAGTCGTAAGCCAAGGGGTTAAGAATAAAAGTTTTCGCATTTAACTCTTCTACTAAAGAAATGTGAAAAGAAAGATTTATTCAAAGCGATTTCGTTATAATCTGGAATATTTTTTATTTTAAATCGATGAAATTTTTTCACCCCGCGCGATCTTATCTGTTATTCCATTGCGATTTCATGGATAAACGATTCTAATTGTCAAACCGCGAGCTTGAATTAATTTGCAAACTAACTGTCGACCGCATATTTTTCCAATTTACACACGAAAAATGTTTTTGATGGGCACGCACTCCCACGTACGTACGTCCGTATTTATTCATCCCCCGTATGTGTTTCCGCTCGTTTTAATCAGTAGATGGATGGTTGCTTCTATTTATGAGCGTACGTATACACGTGGAACGTCTCTGTACGGAGACCCAACTCACCCTCGTATCAATTCGTGTGTGCACATGACTCTCTCGTCGGACATATTCATAAACACGCGTGCACTTCCCGCGGCATCTATCTGCACGTGAATCCTCCTTCGCGTCTCGGTGCATGACTGATAAAACAAGTTCGCTTGTGTCCGTGCCACGGGTGGATGGAGAAACTTGGAAACCCAGGAAGTTCGAATTTTTTAGATGGTAGCCACGGTGCAAAAGATATTGGAAAGCGCCAGCAACGTTCGCGATAATATTTATCCGCTTGTATTATTTAAATATGCAACGTCAATATGAATACTATTTATTTTAAATATAACCCGGCACGACTGAATATATATTGCATTTATCCCAACCGAATTTAACGCGAGTATTTATTCCTTATATTTTTGAAAAGTAAGAAGCTTGTTTGTCACGATGGTTTCTTTGCCATAGGAAGAAACCAAAGAATAATATTAACTGCATTTTTAGCTCCAGAAATTTACATCATCTTTGTAATTATTTTGTCACGTCTTGATTTGCGTTCTTTAATCCTCTTCCTCTTTTATTCCAGTGAATTCTATTCGTTGTATCACACTGCAAAAGTGGATTAGATTTATGTTAGGATTATTGGGCTATTAAAATACGCTAGTTTTCATATTTCACTGTGAAAGTGGACATACACAGGCTGTCTAGAAATAGATAAGTAAATAATTAAATAAATTTCAAACCTGTCAATCAAGTGCACAGAAGCACTTCTTACGCCGACAGCGATTTCCTCGCAGCGTCTCACCTTCGACTCACGCTACCCTTTAACGCGACTCGTCTCGTCTCCCCAGGCATCTTTTTTAATCACCCCCTCTGTATCCGCCCCTGGGAGCTCGGCAAAGCGTCCGCCGTACACTTGCTCACGTTTCACAGTGTACGTGGCCGGCTATCGAAGCGGCCCGATGTGTTGGGGTGGGTGGACGGGGCGGTTGGCTGCGTTTATGAGGGTGCGGGCCCGAAATTGAAAAGCACCCCAGCGAGAGGTAGGCGAGGGTGGTCGTGCAGCAGTCATTGACAAGCGAAAGACCGTATCAGAGGGTAATCCTATTGGTGGACGGCCGCGTCGCGACGTCCAGGCGTCATTGGTCCGCCTTCGAGCTATGGGGCGTGGTCTCGAGTTCCTCGAGGGTTGCATGGAGGGGTGAGAATGCCTGGCTGCATCCCTGGCAACGATTACCGGAAAACCACAGGGTCGTTCGGCGGTAGGAATCCAGCATGGCGGACCTGGCAACCCCTCCGGCTGAATTCACCACCACCATCGCCACCACCACTACCATTACCACCGGTACCGACTTCGCCGCTATTATCGAGGCCACTGCGACTGTTCACCACTAAACCGGCCGGATAGTGGATTTCGCTCGATTTGTCCGGGGGAACACTTCAGGAATCGGAAGTTCGATCGGACGATTAATTGCTCCGTTAACTAGTCTTTTCAGAGCTCGACTCTTTGACGACGTCGCGGGAATGCAAGACGCCCCAACGACGATGACCTGCGGGTACTATACCTGCACGAATTTATATTTCGTCTTGATTATTTGAAATTTCTCGTTTCTTATTATATTTGCAATCTTCCTTATTCCTTCGTTATCGTCTATTACGTAAGCGATGCGTGAAATAATTATATAGGTCATATCGATTAACCCGTTGATCTATTCTTCATAGTCTTAGAATCTCGTTGAATCGTATCTTTACATCGTGGTAATGCACTCATTCATAGTTTACAATGCTCCATGAAGGTGACATAACAATATCGACATCACCGTGTAACCACCACCGTCATTCATCATTACGCGACCAAAGCCTCGTTACGTCTAATTACTCCACCGCTGCATCAATCAGCCCTCTCAAAGAGACTGCGAGCAAGCCAAAGCAGCATGCTCAAAGAGCATTTTTTTTTTTCATCCTACCGCGTTGCAGCGTCGATGGATCTGATTCCAGTGAGCAACACCGCGACGCTAGGTATCGTTCTATCCGGCCCGATAAAGGGGATGAACGGGGTGAAGCGAAGAGAAAGAAAGCGAGCAGAGGGTGGAGAGAGATGTAGAACGGGTTTCACTACCACGTAGCCAACGATCAACAATTGCACGACGTTCAGTGGGCGAAGGTAGGCGTCGTCTCGTGACGGTGGCGGAGAGGGTGGGGGTTGGAGCGTCGACCAGGCGTCAACCGATGCGAAGGGGTGCGCGCAGGCGCCGCGACGAGCGTCGTCGACGAAGCGCCGCGTCAAACGTGCCGGCTATAGGTTAAATCCTCCCGCTCCTCGTTTTTGTTGTTTTTCCGGCGTTGCCTCCTGATCCCGCCTTCAAAAGTGCCAACGGACCAATCGGTGGCCCGTGCTCGCGGGACGCCCGGTGTCGAGACACCTCTGCAGCCACCAACGACGTCGACCTCCGTGATACGGGACGATCGAGCCGAGCTAACGTCGATCTCTCGCCGAGAGACGCCGACTTCCAGACGTCATCCGTCGTCGTTGCTCTCGTTGACGCGGTTCCATCAGTTTCCAGCAATCCGTGGGCTGTCAAGCCGTATTGACTCTTCGAGACGCCGGAGGTGATCGGAGTCCTCCTCGCTGGGGTAGTTTTCGTCGACCGTCGGGGTGAATCAGTGGAGTTTCGCGGGAACTGGTTGACGGGTGATTTATTCGATGAAATCAGTGCGAGAAGTTTGCAACGACCTCGAGGATGCTCTGAGTACCTGATCTTGGACGGTTGGACTGTTGGTGTGCGCGTGTGACGAAGAGTGAAATTGACAAGGCTTGTATCGTAGCTAGGTAAAGAAGATTCGACGATTTGACGATGATTTGCAGTTGATGAAGATTTACATAGGTTTAAAAGATGAGCATGGGATCGTGCATTTGATTTATTCGCGAGTTTTCGTTGGTTGTTGGTTTCGTGTAACTAACTCACAGCGACCAATGGCAAGGATAATGACGAGGGTGGTATTTTAATGGTAGGTAGTTTGTTATACCGCGTTGTTGAAATAACAACGACATCGTTGTGTCGATCAAGGTGGTATTTTAATGAATCGGTGTAATAACGTCAGCAAACTGTTGTATGTTGCAGTATATTGCCTCTTGTTTGTGGGGAATGTTCATTGATACACCATGAACGGAGCGACATCGGTTACCACGTTGGAAGAGCATCAGCATCAGCAACCGCAGAACGATGCAGCCCCCGATCACCCAAGGAGTCCTACCAGCCCTTTGAGTATCCGACATGGTGAGTTGACATAACAGTGTGTCATTGTTTCGAAAGGAGCAGCGAGATAAACGCGAGGCAAATATCGAGTTCGCTCTGTTTTCGATGACAGTTCGTCAGAATTTTACTTACAATTGAAAGACAAATGGCACGCGAGTAAAGAAAGCGCAGTGTGCACGCAAGAAAAACATAACTGAGCAAACATTCCTCTCTGTTAAAGGTATCGATATGTAAATAGAATTCGTGCATATTTTTTGGCCCCCAAATATTTTGCAAAGGCCTGATAATTTTTAATCGTCTTTTCAATCCTCGCGACGATGATTTATGACGCTAGTTGCGTCGACACGATCAAATGTCAAGGTAGTATCGCTATCGATTTCACGGGAAGAATCATTCTTGTTATTTATTAATCGAAAGATTACGAATTCAACGATAAAATGCAAGGCTGTTATTTCAGATGTCAAAACAGTGAACACGAGATATTCACTTCCGCGAGCGAAAGAAAACAGCCTAACATTTGTCCGCGGAACGTTAAATATCGTTTCGCAAAATTATTTGATGCATTTGTCGATGTTTGTCGTCTCTAGATCATCGTTCATCGAGCGCTAGATTCCTCTTACGTTTATAAATGAACGACTATGTTAATGCACGTTCAAAAGACGGGCTACACATAAATCAACCCCCCGGCGCACTCTTACGCGAATCGTAGATCTGGGGCGGCAAGTGGAAAAAGAGGGTGCAGCGCGGCCAACGAAATTATGCCATTAGAGTAATCAGATTTTGAGTGACCCGAAGAATTTAGCACTGCATGATTTTCCTACGCGTTAAACGAGGAAAGAAAAATCGCGTTTCATATTCGGCGCATTCGAATGGGGTCGTAGGGGTACAAAATTATTTTTATTACTTAAATCATCGATTTTTATTAAATGTCATTACCACGTATACTTTTGACTTATTAATCGAGACATTTCTGTCTAGAAAATATTTCAGATTTCGAACTAAATATTATTCACTGCAAATTACTTTCGGTTAGATCCAATCTTAAATTTAATTCTTCTGATATATTAATTATACCGTTTCTTGGTAAAAGTACGCAACACTATCTCAGAAAATAACAATGCTTCCCTAATGCAATACCAATTAATCGAGACTAGGGTACGCAGAAGAAAGTGACAGAATTTATTCATACTTGTTGCGAAGAAAAGTTCATATACTTCTAAACGATATATTTAAAATCCTTATTTTTATCCCCGCGTTAATCAATACAGTATACTTATATACACTACAGTACTAATACAGTACGATACAAGACAGTAGGGGTACACGATACGTATATTAGTCGACACGACGCGTTATAAACCACAAGAGCATTAAAATCTTCCCACCAGGAGCTCCAATACAACTAAAAATTTCTCCACAAACACGCACGCGGATACACATCAAAGCACCAGCTCAAACAGATGTTCCAAATCGCGAATTCGTACGAGACACCGTCCCAGACAATACAGATATCTCCCTAATGCGGTAACAATTAGTCGAGATTGGGGTGCGGGGGTGGAGGGTGGTCGAAGTGGTGGCTGGTAGTTACGAAACCCCTTTTTTTCCCGAGCTCCTCGGCCAACGTCCCCTTTGCTGGTCGTCATCCCCGCGGCGCCCCACCTCCGTTCCTCGATGATCCCATAATACGGGGGCGCAGGTGGCACCTTGCCATCCGCCAGCATTGATATGCTAATGAAATTTGACGCCCCTGCTTTCGTTATACACACACGTACGCGTTCCGCGTTTCTCGCACCGGTCACCATACGGCCGCATAATTCTCCTCTCCTCTTTTAACCCCTGGCAGTCGCGATGGCATTCCGCGAGCTACCGTCCAGATTCGATTACCCTAATGGCGTAACGCTGTCGCGTACGCGGATCAACCTGGCCACCTTAAGATTTCAGCGAGACCAACCCGTCTCGGAGGAACCTCGTGACCGAGGACGTCGAAGAGACCCTCTACGGGGTTGTTTCGTCTGCGGTGGATTATGGCAAGGCTTGGAAGTCGTTTGGGGAGCAGAGGAATCCGTGCATAGGGTGGATGGTATTGTGACGGAGGATTTATCGGGGAAAATTAGATTGATAAAGTGGAGGCGGGGGTCTGATTATTCTTGGCACAGAGAGGAGGGTAAGAGATTTTAGAGAGGTTTGATCAACCCTTTTGATGTCGGTTCGAAATAGAATTCTAAAAGCGAAGGCTACTGGGTGAGAGGTAGACTACCGAGTGTATAATGGGGAATTAAAATGTTTCATGCCGATGTTACACGGAGTGAAACGTGGAATCGATCGTCGATGGAATTTGTGTCGGTGGTTGGTTGGAGTTGGCTTGCCTTTTTGAGAACAGATTTCAGATATCGCAATTCGTGTCTCTCTGCGCGCGTTCGTCGGGATTAGGGTGTTAACGAGATCGAAAAGCCGACACGCTTAGGACGTTACGTGAGTGGCATTAATAAGATCGTCTCGAGTTCATCCCCCGGTAACCGTAACGACGAAACGATACGACTGAATTCTTCCTGCCGGAGCTGGATCACGCGTGTCGGCCAGCGATTCGGACGTGCCCCGTGCCTTTGATCATTGATTACGATTACGGATTGGGATCGCTTGGATCTGATACTGTAATCTCATCGTGGGGCTGATAATTCGTAATTTGAATTCGTTCTTGTATCTGTAGTCACGTGTGTCGTAAACAACGATCTTCCTTCGATGATCCTCGTTTTAAATGGTGTAACATATTTCTGTATTTAAGGTAATAGAATTTTTATTAGCCTCTTCATGTTCTATCTTCATTCTCAACTTTTCTCAACCATTAAACTTAACTTTTAACACTAGAAATATCAACTTTCTGAAATTATTAGAAACATGTATCTGCTTTCAAAGAAAAATTAACGTCAACTCGTATGCAGGTAGAACTGTAATTAATATATTTAATCATCTTCGTGGTACCATAGAAATTACTATTATCTATGTCCACTATGTTTAGGTACCTATTAAAGATCGGTAATTTTAGCGTTAATATCGTTTTGATTCAGGACACGAATAATTTTAAAAAATTTTCAGGATACGAATGATTTATTAATTTAATTAGTAATTAATAATAGTTAATTTATCTTCAACATATGTTTTATATAAAAAAGATATAAGAATGAGTTTCTCACATATCTATATGGCAATTTGCCTAATCTTTTACTCTAATATCGTTCATTAAATATCATACAAAAGACTAATTCGTATAAATCGTATTTCCAAAATTCTATAAATACCTTCTTCCCACTCAAGAGTATTGCTCAAGCAGTTCCATCGATCGAATATTCTTCTTTTCTACTCTAAACGAATAACCGTAAGCACCGACTGCAATCTGTCGTCTGGAGTGCTCGAGCCGAAAACGATTTTAAACAACTCCGCGGACTAGGGCACGGTTAAATTATTTTGCAGCGGGTTAGAAGCGGGACCCTAACCTGATATCGACCTGTTGTCGATTCGCATGGTAATTCGAACGGATCCTATCTGACCCCGCGGCATTAACGAGACCGGAACGAGTTTTCGATCGGGTACGATGCAGCCGACAAATACGATTCCGGGGAGATCTCGCGCCTCGTCGGGGCTGGCAGCGTGACTAATAAAGCCGAGTGGAGAGGCGAAATCACATTTCGTTGATCACGCAGATGTTCGCCGGTCTCCGATCTCTTTTCATTTCCATCTCCCAATTAATATCGTTAACGCGCCCTACGATGACAGTGAAATTTATTTTTCTACCGGTTGGCGACACTTTTACAATTTTTCTTTTTTATAATCAACCATGTAGTCTCGTCTTCTGACTGTAAACTATTTATAGTCATTTCTATATGTAACTACTGTAATTTATATATAACAGCCATAGTTTGGTATTTTTAATTAACGACGTAATTATTAAAGCATCCATTTTTTCCTTCTTTATTAAGATCGGAGATGTGTTTATTGTACATGTAAAGTAGCAGTGATTGTCATATCGAAATTTATTATAAAATTCAGAATATTGACTTTTTTCTGTCAAATAGAAGCTCTGATTCATTGCGCGTATGTAAGTGATGTTTTCTGCTTTAAATTTAAGAGAGTATTGTGTTCAAAATGTTTTGAATATTCGAAACGAGCGAAACAAAAAATATGTAGTAGTTAGGGGAGGTACATTAAGCAAAGCAGCACTTTGTATTCTCCCCATGATAGAATCATCTCACATTTCTTTTTCTTCTACTTTCTTTTGAATGTATAAATATTTATACCACGGTTTTTAAGAACTCATTTCTCGATGTAAATACTGTTTGCCCTCGCGATCCAGACGGTAAGCCTTAAGGGATGCGAGAAAAGAACCACGGGTCTCATGGGGACAGAAACCATAGACAATCGTGCCCTGTCATTCGTAAAAAGTAAATTGTATTACATTTCCCAATGAGAAAAATAAAAATATTCTAACAATTTCAATTATATCGTTTCTTCGAAATTAATCTCGCGAAATTAATCATTTCTCCTCCGATGAAACAGTTACTCTTTGTCAATAATAGCGTTGGTGTGTATAATAACGTGAGGTATACATAATCACTTTATCATCGGCCATTTAATCGGCCACAAATCTTCAGAATACCGCCTAACTGTCATGCAAGTCCTTCCTGGCGAACCATAACGTTTGCGTATCATGTGCGTGCAATTATTATACGTACGTGTTCGAGGACCCCTCCACATGGGAATCAATCAAGGGTGGAAGGTGGCAAGACGCGTGGGGCCGATCACACAAGCGCGCGACAGAGATTTCCGGGATTAGGCGAACGTAACTGCCATCTGATCGAATAGGATGAATCAAACTCGAATGTGGAAAAACTGCGGCACGGATTGCAAATCTTAAGTTGTTCCATCAAAATTGATTCCCTTCTCGATGGAAAAAAATAAACGACGTAAAATAAATCAACGAGGAAGAAGTAGAGGACCCATTTCTTTGCTGTGTTTATCGGTGCTTCGAAAAGAGACGAGCAAAAATATCAACTGAATAAAAGTTATTGTTACTGGAAGATCAATAAACATTCCAAGAAATAAAAATCGAAGGCTACGTCGGTGCATTTTCTTAACACAGTATCGACAATTGTGTAAAGTCTAGTCACTTCGCAAAGAAAATCATTCGTGAATGTTGACACTCAAAGCGTGAACCGACAATCAAGTATTAACTGTAGCAAACGTCGTTATAATTAAAGCCACTATAATCGCAAAATATTTAATAATTTCATTCGAGCAATGAAAAGAAGTACGGAACAACCATCGGCGAAAATACAATTAAAATTCGTTGCATGCAACACAAGTATATACATTAAAAACAATTCATATTTTTCCACAAAATTCCATATTCTCTCGTCAGAAATTATTTCCTCGAGCAACTGTTCTCTCTCCACGAAGAAAGAAAAACTTAACTGAAAAACCATTTGTTTCCAGACTCGGGCGAGAGCAGCGTAATCTCCCCAGGATTACCGGAGCGGTATAGTCCTTTGGGAGCGACAGGATCGACGTCGAATCACGATCCTTACGCCTCGAGGTCTGTCCAAGAGTGTCCGGTTCCACTTTGCAGAGGAATACCTACGGATTTCCCGCTCGCGAGATCGCCGTATTTAACCGCAAACAACAACAGCAGCAACTGCAACCGCAACATGGCAGCAAACCACCCCGCAGCCTCGGCTTGATATGCGTGGTCTGTGGTGATACCAGCTCCGGGAAACATTACGGAATCCTCGCTTGCAACGGATGCAGTGGATTCTTCAAGAGGAGTGTCAGGCGGAAGCTGATATACAGGTGAGTCAAATAATTCTTTAATTAATAAATATTTCATTCTACATATTTACGTTAAATATCGTATAGTATTCCTGTGGAATCTAACGTGTGGATAGAGATGATCTATCCTTACTTTTTAAAAGTGGAAATTATTGTTATTATTACATTATTGTGCCGTCTAATTAATTACTATTCAGACTATAAAGAAAAGTGTGAAAATTATCTTTTAAGCAGTTCTAATGTTCTCAGTACGAACCTACTATTTTCTTCAAAACGTGATGATATAAACAGTGTACTAAATTTTACCAAAAACCAAGAGGAACTAATTCTCGGTTAAAACAAATACCCGAAGTATCTCAAATTATACTCAAAGACCAGAAAACGAAATCGACCAGTGAAAAGAATCGTTTCACCGTACTTAACACCTACGATGCATCTTAAATCCCCGATTCGACTCGAACCCAAATCTTTCCTTCGAAAGTACCGGCTACTGCGGCAAAATCTCTCGTCTCCTATCAGATAGAAATTAGTCAGCAGATCCTCTTACGGCGTTTAATGTCAAACTGGCCAGCCAGTGGCGCCATGTGGTCCAAGTCGAGTGGGCTCATCGTAATACCGGGCAACAATGCGGAACGGCATAATGTTGAACCCTGGAGGACCTATCCACCTAACCCGCCGCCCTGTGTATACGGCATACTATTACCATCCCCTGGGAACGGCCATCCATCTCCATCGGATCCCTCTCAGCTCGGAATCGCTGTCTGATACGCTCGATCCGTTTTACACGGGGCCACGTACGAGCCCACGGTTGTCTGCCGTGTGCGTGCATCCCTTTGACTACGTATACGTGACTATCGATAACAGGCGCCCATAGGTGTGCGCGTTAAGCCTGTCGAAGAGATACACGATGCCAGGATGCTCGATATACAAACTATTACCCCCGCCGATGCTCGAAAAATAAATGCTACAGATACGTTCGCTTTGAGCACGTGACCAGACTGCAAATAGCCACGAACAATAAATTCTCTTCTTGGGATCTGCCGAGGTTTTTTTGAGTCTCCTGGCGGAGGCCAGTCGCGAGGTTTGAAAAGAGATTTCTGAAAGTTTGAGAAAGGGTTCTGATATTAGGAGCATCGGTTGATCGAATTGGTAATATTGCAGGAACGAAGGAATTTACTGAAAATCATATGGGAGCAGATGAAAATTTGGAATTAGTTTTTGTTATTTTGCAATTACTTCGATTACTTGGTTAAGTGTTTCAAGATATTCAAATTATGAGTTATACTTTGTAAAAATAAATCATTTGTGTGGACTTTGGCTATTGTCACGGTGTTAAAGCGGATCGAAAATCGGTCATTTGAGGCACGTGTCTACTCGATTCATCACCGTGGCTCGTTGCATCGGTTTTTTATTCTCCGCTATCAATTCCTGTTGAATGGTAACGCGGTAAAGAGTGAAGAGCCTTCGCACAGATAACCAATTACTCGTAGAGGGGAACAGACCGCGACAGATGCGTCTCGACGTGATGCGCCGCGGCGGCGCATCGGCCATAATCGTCAGATTAAAGTCCAACTTCACGGATCGGTTAGATGCAATTAAGTAGATCGTCCATGATCCAGATTGCGTGGAAAGTTCGCGCCAACTCCCATTGGGCCACACTTGAATTTTGCGCGCAATGCATCAACTGTTCCATGCTATCATCGACAAACGAGTGGTTTCCTAGTCGCTGCAATTGCTGATAGATCCCTTTTAACAATGCAGACGTATAGTTCGTTTATATTTATATCCTCCTACCTGTCTGTTATTTACGATTAATTATTCAAAATTAACGATCTTGGGGACTATAAAAGGATTAAAGGAAGACTCCAGATAACACAAATAATAATTTACTTACTTCACCAACGAGAATACCCATCACGTGCCAATATCCACTTTAATTTCTTCTCAATTCTTTCAACTCTCACCACCCACATACCTCGCTCACCAGCCTCCCATTCTTCGTTCTCTATAGGACTTCCAGAACTCAGAGGGGGTTAAGTCATTGAATGATCCGTAGTCGCGATCTCCGGACGCGATAACAGGCAGCACATGTTTCCGGTAACTCGATGAAGCAAACAATGCCGGCCAGCAGAAGAATAGAGAGATGCGTAAATAAATGTATGATGTGGTTCTGAAGGGTGAATGCCGTGGATGGCCGAGGGTGATGTATCCCTCGTGTTGCACGGGCCAGAGGCGGCGCGGCAGAGGCTCGCTGGGGTGTGAACGCAAATCAATTTGCGAGAGGAACCCCGCTGGCACGGCAGCACGCAGCCACCCTTCGGTGCCCTTCGTGTTCCACCGCCTCGGGACAAGATAGTTCCAGGACGGTGGCGTCCTTTCGTCGCGCCGCTGGATCAAGCCGCCTCCTTGTGAGTGACGTTAGTTAAAATCGCGCTAACGGAACCCTGGGAATTGATCGAGCCCGAGGCCATTACCGTCGAATCACTAACGCTCACACCTTTTTCTGACCGATCCATGGGAACCGTGGAAGGCTTGACTTTGCCTCGTTCGACTGTCACTGACGAAGATTGCTGCTTTTTTGATTCTCAGGGAATCTGGTAGAGAAGGTCTAGTAATAGGGAGCTTTCTAATAGACAAGGTTTGAGAACTTGGATATCACGTATGGGAATGTTGTGTCTATTAATTTTCTTAAATATCCAAACAGCTATATTTCCGAATTAATTCTGATAATCGAAGTTCTACTGTATTTTAATGAATTATAAATTTGTGCATAGGTAAGGGATGCACAGGTTAAATATGGCTGTATCGAGATATTGATCTATCTGTAAATTCGAATTTTTAAATTTCGAAATTATCGTAATGAATTTGGTATCTTCACAATTTCTTTAGAATTCTTCATTGCTGAAACTCTCGAATGACAAATGTAAACTAATTTATAGGGAAAAAAAGAACTGAGAATTTGAAATGGGGAATGTTGATTTCTAAGTGGAGCAGCGTCATGTAGCAGGCTGAAAAGGAAAAGAGGAAGCGGTTCTAACCCCTAAGAAGCACCACGAGGCTACCGCGGGATTGGATGAAATTAAGTGGGATAAGAAGAAGGTACGTGACCCCGAGTGGTCGCCTCTTTACGTTAGTCAGCTCGGAAGGATAACCGGGTTAGCCGAACAATGAAAGTAATCGAATTTAACGCCATCTCCTGAGTGCGCAGCCAGGATTTCCGGCAAGTGCGCTCGAAATTTCTCGTCTTTTCGGAAGGGACAACAGCCATCAAGTTACGGTGGTCGTCGATGAAACGTCGTCGTCAAGGATCGATCGATTTCGACAGCTAGAAGAGCTTCTTCGTTCGGGTTTCCTCATCGATAACGACTCACGATATCTTTCTAACGATACCGTAGAATCTAACGATAATTAAATTTCAATTAACATCTCTTTGGTCACGAGAATTAGAGGTATACATATGAAACGAACGATCTATGAAATTCTTTGTATCTCTTTCAACACTGAGTTTGATTGGATAGTCGTGATATTAATGAAATCGAGAAATTAATTTTTAACGATAGTGAAAAATGTCGCGAAGATTTTTCACGTTTGAAATCTTTCTACATGTCTGGAAAAATTTTGTGCTCAGATGTCAAGCCGGTACCGGAAGATGCGTCGTGGACAAAGCTCACCGAAATCAGTGTCAGGCGTGCCGTTTGAAGAAGTGCATGCAAATGGGAATGAATAAAGACGGTGAGTAATTGAATTGAATAATAATTGGGAGATAAGCACGCGTTTCTTGTTATCGCGTAGATTACCTCGTTTCTTTCGTTTCCTTTGCTTTAGCTTTCATTCCTCGTTATGCGTTAGTTTAGGAATAAACATTCGGCGAATAAGACAAATCCGTGAGATTACGTAAATTTTGGAAAATAAAATTGCGGAAGTTGATACATTTGGGATAACTTCTGTTGCACGTTGCAATTTTTGTTACGGTTATGAAGGAGAAGTTGCTTTCGAGGTGAGGACACGATTCGTGTTCCATGTATGAAAATTCCATTTCTTGATCGCTGAATCGATGAAGTTGTTCGAAATGTTCAAACACTATGGATACCGACGAAAATATAAACAGTAAAGTTTCAGAATTGATTTTTGGATGAAAAAACAATTCTGTGATGGACGATTAAGTCTTCTTACTTAAATAATGCATGAGAGAAATTCGTTCTAAATAGAACAATCTTTTTTTTTTTTACGTTTTAAAGAACATGTCTCTTCCACTTCATGGATGCTGTATGGTGAGCATAAAACAATTACTTTCCTCTTAATCGACTTTTACGAACTAATTAAACTGTGTACACAAAGCTTCAGAATCTTTAAACGAAACTTAACAAAAAAGATTGAAAATCTACTTTTTTACTAATAAAAAGCATCCATGTTTGATCCAAATACTCTCAGACATCTAAAACCGATTAATTTTAAGCTCTTTAATTTCGTGCTATTTTATAAAATAATTTATCAAATTCGCAACGTATCTACATCGTATAAAATATCGACAAACAAATTATGACACGGTTTAGCAGAATTTACCGAATGGAAAACATTTTAATCTAAATCATACGCCGTTTCCTTCAAACACACTGCCACACCCGTCATCATCCCTCAGTTACTTTCAACTAAATCCACGTGGAATTTTTATCGAGTGGAATAAAACACACCACGCCCCATTTTCTCCAAATATATTCCCAAAGTACCATAACCGAATCGCTTATTTGCCAAGTTCATTAAATCCATCAAACAGAAAATAATAATGAGAAAAAAGAAATCGTTTGTTCCGGTATTAAAATAATTACTTTTAATTATTTTAATTACTTTAAAACTTAATTACTTTGACGTGTGTATGCCTTAATTAATATTAACCCTTTGCACTCGACGATTTTTTGGCTAGAGAAGAGTAGAAAATCAAAGATCCTCTATTAAAAAACTGACGATACTTTTTTGAGCAGTAAATAAAGAATTTTATAATAATAGAATTATAGAACTATTTGATTTCGAAACCTTGCATACTGTTACGTTACATTAAATTTGATATATTAATTAATATCTATCTTCCAAATTTTATGAAATGGTCACTGAGAGTCACCTCTCGAGTGCAAAGGGTTAACCAATCTCAAACAAAATCATAGTGAATTTCTCTCGAATCAAATAATTCTTTTTAACACCCCATTCGCAAAGTCACATCATCATCCCCAATATAATACATAGGTATTTCCAGTTAACATCGATCAATCTGAAACAAAACCACGGTGAATTTTCCTCGACTAGTATAAGTATCGGTCCAGCCCGGAGTGCGAAAGAATATCTTTCCCAACGATCGTCATAGGGGGTGGTTCTTGGGCCATCGATACATTAGATTATCCGTTTCCGCAGGTAACCCCGCATTGTGGGAATCAATCAACGTTCGCGTTTCCTCTTTCCATCGGGGGCAGGAGGATCGAGGAATTCGAGCGAGGGTCCTTTATGTTCGCGACATAAATAACTGGATAAAGGCGGGGCGATTGGCGCGGGGTGGCGAGGTCCGCTTTGGCGGTAGCGTTCGATTCAACTCTTAATGCCTCTCAGCCGGCGAACGGGGCGCACCTGCCACGGCAAAAGAGCATTTTCCTCCTTTTTCCATCGCCGTTCCGACGTCTCTTCTTTTCCCAACGACGTCGTCATCCCCGCGGAAACTCGTCCCGCGGCGCGCGCCAACTTTCTTATTGCCGAACTTGACGTCGTAGGAAGAAATACTTCCAATTGGATGCCGGTTCCCTTGGCGACCGGCACGACGACGTTTCTATGGAACGTCGATCGTTTCCCCTGGAAATTAGATTGGCCAGCGTCGGGAGTTACGCTCCGCGACGAGGACAAAAAGATATTGCGCCAACTTTCGCCATTCCATCGTCTCGAGTGATAGCATTTCTCCGAAGACAATGGGTGTAGATCGAGCTTTGATCGATATCGATATTTCCGATGATGAGTTGTTTCTCATCGCGTCGTTGTCCTATTAGGCGATATGGGTGTACATCTTCGTAGACATTATAGGTGTACGTGGAAGGAACTATCTCTGTATTTTCTTTAATAATTTTGTCAATCGTTGTCTATTCGACAGGATATCTATGACAATAAAACTGTGAAGGAATATTCCAATATATAGGTATAAATTATTCCACGATAAATGATATACGATATAAATTTTAGACAGTAGATGACACTTTAGCATGCCTTCTGTGTAGAATACCACCGTGAATGAAGAATCTCTTTATCTTCAGTTTTCTAAGACCTTAATAAGGTTATTTCCTGCGTCTTACGTGGATATTTACGCCATATTTTTATTTCGATACGATGAAAATATCGAAGAGAAAAATATCTGAGAAGCAAGCAACAAATCAATTTTTACCGTCTTCGTCAAAAGCGAAGCAGCAAAATCCCCATACAATACCAATCCCCACGCAGAAAATGAGCACCGAATAGTCGTCGTCGCATGCCACGGTAATTCGATGAAAATTGCGTATGCATAGCCACGAAACACGTAGCACGAGGCGAAGAGCCGCCGCACGCAGAGCGGTGCGGTTCGCCACGACGCGGCAGGCGAAACGACGCCGGGCGTCGTAAACACCGCGGTCGTTAGCGACGGTCGCGTGGCCGTCGCCGAGCCCCGAAGGGTTAATTGGGGGAAATAAACGTATGCAACGTGCGGCCGATCCGTGTGCGCAAAAATCCGCGCGCTCCTCATTGTCTGGCGCGCCCTTTCTCGCGCCCTTTCTCGCGCCCTTGTCCCTGTCCTTCCAGCGGATGTGCGTACGTACGCGCGTGTTGCACGACGACGAGGAATCCGCTGGCGTACGGAGACGTGGCGCGGGTAAATCGTGTCATAACGGTGGGCGAGGAAGAAAGGGAGAGAAAAAGCGGAAGAAGCAAAGTGAAAGAGGGAGGCAGACCTCCCACGGTGAGCTTCACGCAAATGAGAGTGAAACGATCTGTAAAAGGGCGTTTATCTCTCCCGGCGTGAAACTGCACGTCGGAGACGCCGACACGGTGGCAAGGGTGCGTACCGGACGGATAGAGAAGTCTCTATTTATCGAACGGGAAGAATTAACGATTGTAATTTGCGAGGAATTACGCTGGAGAGACGGTGAATGGCCGGTAAATGGATGGACGGTAAATTGGTTACCTGGACTTTTGATGATTCCGACGGGTGTGAATGGAAAGTGCGTTTAAAGTGTCGAATGAATTTTTACTAGAACACTCGATCAGTATCATAGGTGGTGTTTAATTTCGCGAATGACATTTGTTATCTTTCGCAATGAAAAATGCTTCGTACTGTAAATATTTTTTAATGCTTTTAAGGACACACGAGGTACATTCGAGGTAGAAAATATTCGAAAAATAACATTTTCATAATATCTTAGAAATTTTTAGGTTGCATACTATAGTCTCGCGTACAAATATCTTTCTGTGATATTCTAACTCCGCAATTTCACGTCTCTCTCTCTGTACTATCTCGGAAAGTTTCCAGCCAAACTAGAATACCTCACGAGCAGCTCTCTAATCACCCTCAAACATCCCCAACACCTGAATCCGCGACCAGTGAATTAAACAAAGAAAAGCAAAGTGAGGTTGCGCAAAAGGGAAAAGGAATAAAAGGAGAATAAAAGAGGAAAAGGAAGGGGTCGTGTGAAAATAAGCGGACTGAAGAGTTAAAAAGACAAAAGGGAAAGCGCGCGCGTTACACACGCGGACAAGAAAAATTTCCCGGGGACGCGACCGGCGGAAGGGCGTTTATCTTTTCCGCCGGCAGGGTAAACGAGAGAAAAAGTGAGAGAGCGAGGGTGAAGCGAAGGGAAGAAAGCTCGTGGACAGAGAGGAGAGGGAGAGAAAAAGAAGGAAGAAGAGAGACGGCGGATGCAAAAGGCTTGACGAAGTAGGAGGATCCTATTAAGCCGCTCAGCAGGCAGCACGACGCGTAGGTAAAGCGAGCCGCGGCACGCTTTTTATTATTACGAAATTACTGTGCACCCGTGCCGTGCTAAAGGGGAAGTTGGAAGAAAAAAAATTCTGCTCGCCGTTACACACCACTGAATGCCCTAATCGCGGCGCCATTAACATGTGCCCGGCGTCACGAGTCTTCTCTCTCGGGAACGGAAGTGCATGGCCCTGTCGCGTCTCTGCGTTACAGCCTTGATGGCGCGTCGAAGATGTCTGCGACTGTGCTTTGTGCTTTGGAAAACCCTCTTTGGGAACGAACGGCACGAATTTCGCCGGCTCTGCGCGATAGTTTTTAATGACAGACTGTCTGCAAAACGTACAAACGTAAAACGATGCACAGGTGAATGTTCCTTTCGTACCTTCAACGGTGTCACCGTGTATTTCACTCATGCTGAATTATTTTTGCACATGCGTGTATTTGTTTCAAACGCTGCTCGAAGGTATTCCCGAGCGCGATAATAAAGATAAAGGAATAAAAGCTGGAAATAAATGCAACACGTTTTCGGTCCGACGTTATTTATAATAAAAACACGCAGGAGCAGAAATAGTCGCGTTATAACTTGTTACGAATTGCCTTGTTGATTTATCCTCTGTCGAATTCCAAGATACTCGGTTTTGTTTCTCGCAACTGTGCAAATACTTTGCCATACTCTTATCGAGTCGTACCTCGTGCGTAATATACGCCAAAATTTAAGTTCGAATCTTCGACGTACCATCTGTCGTTCCTCTACTCTATCCCGACCTTCGACATCGTCGTTGAAAATACCCCGAAATTCCACGCAATGGCACCTTAAACCTGTTTCGACCCCCGATGTAATCGCTTTGAAAGCTCGGAGCCCAGGTTAAACGTTAAACGAACGGAATGAGATTTCACGTCCCTTTACGACTCCTCCTATTAATTCAACCCCAAAGAAACTACATGCGACGGAAAATACGAATAGGGAATATTATTCCATTTTCTCGTGAACCACGAGGTTGTTCCAGAGGAAGATACTCTGCCGTTGGCTGTCAGTCGAATGGGAGTTATCGAACGACGATATATACAAACAATAAGCGCGGCTGATTCCTACGCGTCTGTTAAATTCACGCTTGTCAGACGCAGGCCGCTGGCGTGATATAACGGCGCGTTACGTGAGTTTGACGAGAGGGTGGTGGCCAATCGTTTGTTCCCCGATTAATCTGGCAAGACTCGTCGAACCAGCATACTCCACTGATATTTCAATAACCAAGAAACCTGACGGGATGGGTAGGATATCTCGTGTAACGAACGTATTATCGAGAGACACACCACGAACGGCGCTCGATTGTCTCGTTCAGCCGATCGTTTTGTTCTCCCAGAACGGGAGCCTCGTTCTCGGAATTGCGATATTGCATAATCTTATATGCACTTGCTTAATTTTAGCTCGGCTGTGACAATGTCAATGGACCATCGACGACAGCGATGCTTATAGACCAATTGTTATATTAGGAACCTGAGTTACATGAAATGTACAATCACGTTTTGGGTATTTAGAAAATGAACGAGTCACGTGAGTCTCTTGATGCGAGATTCAGGTTAATTTATGGAGGTATCGAAGTTTATTTAAGCGAAGTGTCAATTTGCTAATGGAGCTTTTTAAATTGCGCTGTTTTAATTAATTATTTTAATTCTCCGTGGAGTAACTTTTCCTTTTGTTTGCTTCAAATACCAAATGAAGTTTTAACTTTTCGAGGACCGAATTATTTTACCAACATCGCTCTAAAGTTCCGAATATTTTGTTATCGATTTGGTAAGTGATTTTGATATTCAAAAACGTATCGTAATCAAAATTACAAAGGAATTGTCGTATGACTAGGAATTTAGTATTTTATTTCCTTATGATATCGTTATATTGACCATTACTACCAAGTAGACCATTATAATACTGATTCCTTGCTTCTTCTATCTCCAAAATTTGTCTCTCACGAGTGAAGAAAATTCATTTGTATAAAGGGATATTTTCCGTCGCTATTTTCTTTCGAATTCGTCGAGAATACACGTTACACGTTTTTAGTCTCGATGATTCGTTATCGAGGTTAAAAATTTCGAAGGATCGTTCGCTTTCTTGCGTATTGGCAATTAATCACATCACGTAATTCCACCATAGCGCTGTGCGCAAATTCCAAAAGACATTACGTTCGATAGCAGCGACTAAAGCGCGCGCGAGGCGGTACACGGGGGCGTGTAATTAATTCGTGGCTGCAATTAACGCCTGTTATCGACGTTACATCGAAGGTGTGTGCTTCTGTTTCAGCGGTACAGAATGAACGGCAACCCAGAAACACTGCCACCATTAGACCAGAGGCTCTCGTCGAGATGGACCAGGAACGAGCGCTTCGAGAAGCTGCGGTCGCCGTCGGTGTCTTTGGGTAAGTCATTATTTTTATTCCTTCCACGCTTAACTCGGAAATTTCAACTTCCAATATAAATTTAACAAACGTAATTTTGCATGCTTTCGCTATTACCTAAATATCGTGTAAATAACTATAATGATAATAGAGTCTATTACCAAGTGATCAAAGTGACAACATCAAATGCGGAATGATAAACGGGGAGTTTAAAAATGGTCACTTGGGTCGTGGTAGGTGCAGTGTTAAATTATTAAAGGATCATTTAGGAATTTTAGCATATGAACTAATGAATGTTAAAATAATCTATGATACGTAGGCTTTTAAACTTTTCACCCTTATGGATGAACCTTTAGCTCACTTGTGTACATAATCTCGTTATTATTGCAACTATAATATCGCGATATGACCCTGCTATAAATATCAAAATCTTATCTAATATTAATCTCAATCTCCACCTACGATCCACAAGCGATCACCCATCTAGAAAAATATCTTCTCGAAAATAATCGACAGAAACCATAAAATTTCTCGATGAGATCACTATTAGTACTCGAGCTTAACCTAAAACCAGCCAAATCCGACGCCACGAACCGTGCTAAAGGTTCCTGGAAAAACTCGGAGCAAATCTCGCAGACCAGTATCCGTGGACATCCCAGATCCTTGCTCCACTTCTCGCAACAACGCTGAAGAAATATTTCCACGCGTTGGATCCCGGTGCGTGTATTTAGGTGACGCAAAGACGCGATGAATCGTCGAACGGATCCAAGGGGTCAGCCAGGGGGGGATTAAAGGTAACGGCGAGGGCTCGAGATCGATAATCGGCGATTCATCGGGAGCAACAACGATAAGAGCAAGAGAGGCGACGACGTTGTTGGCACGTTTGATCTTCTGCTGCACAGCAGCATACTTTTCGCCGTCGTGAGCAAGCGCGCTCGCGACACGCCACGCCGAGCGTGATCTATCATGAAAAATTACCTTTGACTAGTAGCCCGTGGCTGACCGTTTTTCAGGTAACCGGGTACTCAGGTTGGAACTAATGGAAAATCCATAGAGCGCCAAGGGGTGAACGTTAAAAGCGACAGCGAGCGTGCCGACGATACTCGCCGATACACCGCAGCTTTCTCGAAATTACGCCTTCTTTTCTCCGCGTGTGTCTTTCACGCCATTGCTCGAGTTTTCTCCTGCATAGTTGCTCTTTGTCCTCGATTAACCCTTCGTCTCCTTTCATCGCTAATCCTATTCCCTTTGTCCGTACGATTTTCTTCCTATTCCGTGCAATTATATACACCTATGATATATTCGCGGGTATAATTACTCTTGAGGACGCGCGCGGGCATCGCTCAAACAAAAGGGAAAGTTCGCGGTGTATAAAATATTCGATTATTTTTAGCGAAAGCGAGTCACGCACATGTAGTGGTAATTCGAAACGGGGTTGTGTCTGAGGTAACGAGCTTAATTTATAGACGGTTAAACGGAGTTCGTTTCACCGACTAATTTTGGAGTCTATTATACATTGATGCGCATATAACTCGTAGAATTTGCTATAAAAGAGGGTTTAAGACGGTCCGTGTCAGTGATGATCTAATGACGTCGATGTGAATGCGAGATCGGTGGGATAAGTGGTAGCAGCTAATTGGCTTCGTTCCGAGCCGAACGCGTATTGAATCCCGAATGAATACCGGATTATTTTAGCATTTCGTATTTACGTAAATACCAGCCCTTGGTGACAGGGTAAAATCATAACTGGCAAGGTGTCTCGTGCAGTTCAACTATACGTTTCATACTTTTGGTTCTTTCTTATCCATTCGTGGCTATATTCGAAGCATTGAAGTTGTGTAAGCTCGATCGGTCTTTGTTTTGCACGTTAACCTTCGATGACTGTGTTGGAAGCCTGGATGACCCACATATCGGAGAAAATTTAATGGAAGGTATAGCACAATGAGAACAAGAGAAACGACGTCTATACCATGGCCGATCGGACGAAATGAATTAATAGCCAAGATTAGTTATACGCGTGTTCGGTGAATGAAATGACCCTCGTTGGACAGAATAGAAGCTGTTTATTCCATCTACGATAACGGAGCTAAGATAATCGTGGCGATACAAATCGGTTGCAACGCGACTTCTCGTTGAACCTTAGCTATCGATTCGCGGTACGTTCAGAAGCGCACAGATGCTATCATCGGTCCAACTCGTTGATCCGCTTCGAGGGAAGAAAGAACGAAGCTCGACGCTTCGATTGCCTACAAATTTACTCCTCGAGATATTTTTTCATCTACTGTTTCTTATTTCTTAGTCTTGATTCCGCGATCGTCGCTCGCGTACCTCTAACTCGTGTAAAACCGTTTGAGCCCGGGTTCAACGTTCGACGTTCGACGCGTGAGCACTTGTTCGTTTTCCTCGTTGCGTTATTTATCTACCTATATTATTTCTACGAAAAGCTATGCGCATATACACCGCAGCCTCGTCCCTGAATCTTCGAGTACTTCCAATTTTTGCTAGTCTACGTGAGTACAGAAATCGAGTACAGCGTCTCCGTGTATGATTTGGGCGAATATCGCCCTGACTCTGGCTCTGGGGGACAACGAGTCCTTATCCTGAAGCAAAACCCTTTGCAAAGGAGAAGAACAGATGTCCGGACTGTCTCCTATATTTCTCTCCATGTGCATGGTCGAAATCGGAGGTAGAGTCCTCATATCGCTCTCCGACTTGGCAAATTTCTTCATCGGTTCCGTGTACCTGATCGAGTCCTCTTCATCTGCGTCCACGACGAATCCCCGTCTTAGATTCTCCGATTTCGTTTCTCTGATGACAGAAGCGACCCGTCTCTTTATGTCCGCCTTAACAATGGCAGCCTCTGTGGTCTCCCTCCGACTGGCGTTCGGATTTTTCGTCACGCTGTCCAACATGTTCAGCAACCTATCAAAGGAGCTGCAAATCTCGTCCAAAGACTGCTGACTGAGCAACAGAAATCCTCTCGTTTCCTGTTCCTTCTCTTTCAGAGCATTCTCCAGCTCCACTAGATTGTTCTTCATCGCGTTCAACTGCTCCTCAGCGAGCAAGCGTCGTCCTCGTTCTTCGGCCAGTAGTAATCCGCTGCATTTGGCCTCCTCTAGCAGACGATCGTGTTCGCTCTTCGCTTCGGCTAGTTGAATCTGAATCTTCTGAATTCTCGCGGAATCCTCCGCGTCTTGGCTACTCGAAATTTGCGTCGCAACGTCGACTTTCAATAGCTGCAGGTTCTTCGACGAAGATCTATCGGTGTCAGCTCGGACAATGTCTATGTAGGATCGAACGTTGTTCGCGTTCACGTGTGCCTCGCCCATTACAGGTTGAATGTGAGATTGGAGATCTAAATGCAGAGAGATTTTGGATTTGGCCTGACCGTTTTGTACGATCGGCTGTTGCACCTGTTGTTGCGGTTGTCTAGGCTTATACGGTGGAACGTGAGGCCTCATCTTCGTTTTCTTCACGTTATTCGTCGAATTCAGTGTTTTTCTTGATGCAGACTGATAGGGCCTCTTGGCGTACTCTGTCATAGCGCTACGCGGTCTAGGTACAGGTCTTCCATTGTTCTCGTTCTCGTTTCTCTTCCCATTATCCGCTGACGCCACTCTTCGATCATGCTGAGGCAAACCCAGCCACCTATACTCGTTCTTCGTGTCGACGTTGTTCTCTCCTAGCCGTTTGATCACTTCCTTCACCAAAGCCTCGTTCAAGTTCACGTTCTGCCTGATATCCAGGACACTCAGAGTGGTGTTATGATCCAACAGTTCCAGAAGATCTTTGCCGATCTTATCGGTCAATCCGCAGCGTTGCAGGTCCAACGCTTTCAACCAAAGGCTGTCTCTGACTGCTTCGATCAACTGGATCACCGCCGCGTCACCGAAATGAGGATTATCGTTCAACGTCAAACGACGTAATCCGGACATAGCCTCGAGATTCGGTTCCTGGTACCTAAGCGACTGTTTCCAAGTGTCGTGGTAGAGCAACAGCTTTTGCCTGCACAATGCAGCGGCCAGAGCTGGCCCACATTTGGTCGTGAGGTCGCAGTAGCTGAGATTCAGCGACCTGACGCTTGGAACGTCGGCCACTGTTCGACACAGCACTTCGCAAGAGCTGTCACCGATGTAACAACGCTGAAGGGATAAGTAGTGGAGCGTGTGCGTGTGTGACAAACCCACGCACAATACTGCCAAACAGTCTGGCGGAAAGGGGATGCCCTCCAACTCTAGATTAGTCAGAACCGGAGAGTTTCTGACGCACTGGGCCACGCTGTGTGACAGCCATTCCAGAAGATATCGAGACAACACGACAGGTGCCTTGCCCATCGTTCTAGCCTTGTCCTCGGAATTGATTTCCTCCAATGGTTTGCGACACTGATACCTGCTGCGAACGCTGATCGACCGCAGGCTACGATCGAGCGATAAGGAGTTCAAAATGGGACCCCAGTCGTCCATCTTTACACGGTCGGTGGTAAAGTCTAGACAGTGGGGCAGTGTCACGCAGATTACTGGTAGAGGTCGAAGACGCTGCTGCTTGCAGAGTTCCATGTAACAGTTGGCGAAGTTTCTGCTGTTCGGAATCGCCATCTTGGGTGGTAGCACGGACAACGGGGCATTGACCTTACCCTGGTCGGATGGGGTCTTCTTGGCAGCTGACAGGGTGGCGGTGATCGCTTCGTTCACAGATCCTCTTTTCTGTGCGGAATATTCAAAAAAATATCAAACACAAACTACTTAGAATCCAATCATTGTCATTCCACTTGATTCGTTGATAAACATTGATAATATTATTCAACGAGGGCAGAAAATACTATGCAGGAATAAAAATTCTATCGTTACTCTCGATCGAAAGTAGCACTAGTGATCGCAATAACACTAATTTAACGAGACTACTCAAAGTTAAAGCGATTGCACAATTCTTTTATAATAATAAGTCGATAAGCCTGATTGAACGTACCTTCGTTCTTGCTGCCTTGTTGGTACATTAACCGCAATTTTACCACGCAACGTCATCTGCGATCTCTCAGCCTTTCCGACAGTTTCGATGTGTAATCGGTTTCGACGCTTTCAAAAACGAATCCGTCCGCAGAAGATGCAAATCGCGCTTGAGTTTCTCGTACAGGGCTACCTATATACGCCCACCTACCTACCCGAATTCGGCGAAACGAAATTTCTACGCGGCATACGCTGAAAGTATGCAAACAAAACTCTCGTGTGAAAAGACTGAAGTTACCGCGAATCTATCGCATAATCGACGCTGTTCATCGAACCTCGCGAGTTTAGTAGTGCTTCGCATGAATTCGAGATCGTCGAATAATTTTCGTTTCTCCTTCAATTTTATAAAGTGGAATCCGTGGGGAGGGTGAAATAAATTTATGCGCAAAATGATTTTGAAAAAATTTAAACATGTATTCATATAAGTTAAGAAAATATTTGTAAAATGGTTTTGCGAAATATAATTTTTCAGACCACCTGTGTCGTTGGCCATGGCGAGATACACAACACCATTGCCTTTACCAAGCATTGCGCCGACGACGAATTCTGCCAACCCTCCGACACCACCTCGGCAAGATAACGAAGATGGTATTCATCGACTTTCTTTTATTTTTATTAACTAAAATAAGAGATACTTTCGGAAGCAAACTATCTAAAACCAAAGAGATTTAAATTAAAATTTCATGATGATTTTCCTACATTTCTGTATCTGAAATTGGCATTAATATTTTCTGCAACATTTTCCTATTTAATATTATAGATGTTTAAGTAAGAGTCTTAGTGTATTTGAAAAATATTTTGTTTTTCATTGAAGTATCAAAGTTGAGTAATTCGATCGACAAATTAAACATTGTCTCGTAATATTGTGCAACAGGAAATGCATCCGAGGATAGTATAGACGTAACAAACGAAGAACCATTGACACCCCAAAGGAGCGGTTGCACGCAAATTCCGCCTGTGATCCCCTCGTTGTATTCACCTGCAAGTGCTGAAACGGTCTACGAAACCAGTGCTAGGTTGCTCTTCATGGCTGTAAAGTGGGCCAAGAATCTTCCCTCGTTCGCGAGTTTGCCTTTCAGAGATCAGGTATCTTGAACCAAAGCTCGATCATCAACCTTCCAATTTCTAACACAAATTCGATCAAACAAGAAATCCAGTAATTCCAATATCATCTGCAATGTCGATTTCATAAAATATTTTAAATCTCCACTCTGAGTTCCATTTATTTAAAACGAGATAATATCTTTTCCCCGTAATAATTATTAATTTTGAGGAATAAAAATTATTTTATTGGGACAAAGATCTCTATATTGGGAAAATCTGATAATCTGCATTGTTTCTTCTCTTTGTGATAGGTGATACTTCTAGAAGAGGCCTGGTCGGAGCTGTTCCTCCTGAACGCAGTACAGTGGTGCCTTCCACTCGAATCGTCGCCCCTCTTCAACTCTGCGGAACTGACTGCCTTGACTTTGTCGCCGCATCCGCACCCCCATTCAGGAATCCATATGCAAACCACCACGGGAAAACCGAGTCAGGTGGCAGCAGATGTGAGGCATTTGCACGATACCTTACAGAGATATAAGGCTGTCATGGTATGAAGGCCATAGTGCTATTTCGACCAGGTTCGTAAGCAAATTAATCGTCATAGAGAATTGTAATCGAATAACAGATAAAGAAATTCCACATTACCATTCTTTATTAAACGATATATTAATAATGAATACTCAATAATCGATGATACTGGTGATACGTCAAATTAATTTAAAAATATTCTGAATTTCCAAATTGAAAGGGAATTTTTTTAATTATTATCTTTTATAATCGTATCAGTATCAAGTGGATATTTTATAGAATTCAGTAAAGCACGATTGAAGAGTCAGAATTACCTTGAAGTGGAACGAGATCGCTCATATTCAGACTTCGATGTTTTATCGAAGATTTGTTGAAAATTTCGATTTTATCACGAGGTCATAAAATTTTCGATTCCGCTACAGAAACTCGAGGCCTGAAGGATTCCAGTCAGATAGAAAACCTGCAGGATCAAGCGCAAGTGATGCTGGGTCAGCACGCTAGAGCGCAGCAACCTGGCAGTCCTGCGAGATTCGGCAGATTGCTGCTGTTGCTGCCTTTGCTGAGGACAGTGCCAGCGTCTAGGGTGGAACTGATATACTTTCACAGAACAATCGGCAATACTCCGATGGAGAAAGTCTTGTGCGACATGTACAAAAATTAGTAACGTTCCTTCGACTGGGACTAACGAAGGGAAACGTTGGAGAAAAATTTCGAGCGTTTGATTCTCGTGCAGTGTCACGTTGAAATCTACGAATAAGTGAAATTCGACTGACTCTGTGGTCTCGGGAATAACTTCCCGAAAGATATTCGATTGATTCTGTGATACATTCCATTTCCTTTCTCACTTCGAGCGAAGCCGCTGGCGATTGTCGATATGGAAAAAGTACACGAATCATTGAACACGATAATCAAATCAGCGGAGTGAACTTATCGCAGATTTAATCGACGTTCCTTTGTAATACCTTTTCTTCGAGTACCATTGTGTATGAAAGAGCGCGAAAGACTTTCCTTTGCGAGAGTATCTACGTGCAAGAACTTAGGTGCAGTTAGACGTTGGAAGCCGACTTTCAACGACAGATTGGAAAAAAGACTAGGAAGCATAAATAAGCAATTGAGCCGACCAAATAGTCGAGAACGATCGATCGAAGGTGATAGTTTAACACGTGCGTGAAAGCTTTGGCCTAAGGACGAAGCCCCAAGTATGACCCTTCAATGAATTCGCGACCTCGTCTAGTGACATCTTTTTCCCCTAGACCGGGGTCGAGTAACGATGGATCCTTCGAGAAAGGTAACGAAACGACAAGTACAGTATTTAGTTTAATGGTTCAACGGTATCTAAGTGAAACGAGAGATACTCGGTTTCGACATAAAGATATAGATATATATACATATTTATTTATTATAGAAATGTTTATCGGACATTAGGTTCGACGTGTTGACCAAGTCGTTTCATCTTTCGGTTCCGAATAGCGAATTTTGTACGAGACGCTAACGAATTCTTCATGTTAAAAAGTGACACTGGAGTAGAAGTTTCAGTTCGTTTCATTCCCTGACTTCTTTCCTTTAAGATCGTGTTACTTATGTTCTTTGAGATATTAAGATAAGATTTTGAATATACGAGTAATTGATACGGACTTTCGGACAGCTGTAGAAAGATACACGTCTGTGCTTTTCTTGTATATTTCGTGTTGTGATACTATTTGCTGTAAAAGTCTAGATACTGAGTCACATGACATATATTGTAACGATTACGTAACCACTTGTAATAAAAGTACACATGCGTAAGAATCATCGAGACGCCAAATTAATGACCCTCCTGTCGATATAGGTATAGTTCGATCCTAGAATAATTTTCTTAAAATTATCCGAATAAAAAATTTATTTATTACTCTGTCTCGTACTTTCAATTCATCCAAGAGATCTCACTCCAATTCCATTGTCTATTTCGAATTCATAATTTACCGAATAAAAAGGGTAAAACAAGAATATTCGTAATCTTTTTGCCACAATAAACCATCGACACTTAACCCTCTCATAGCACTCCAAAAATATTAAATTAAAATTTCCATTGCACTATTCCTATTGATTTGCATTAACTCTAAATTTCGCTTCATTCGGTTTCAATGCGAATCTAATTAATCGTGTCATAAAAGGGTTGAATAATATTTTATTCCATATTCTTCAAAATACCCTAAACTCTTAATTCCAAATTTCGAAGTAACGCAAAAAGTGATATCGTCATTGCAAATGTCAAAATATTTCTAAATCCACGCTACAAATCTCCATAAAGGGATGATTTGCCCCACGACGGAAGTCAAAGATCTCAACCCCCGGCACTACTTTAATTTCTGTTTATTTAACCGAGGGTAACGCTTGCGAATGTCGGCGAATCGAAATTTGACGCTAACCCCGAGTCACGGTGGTTGTTGCATAAACGTACATATTTATTTATCACCGTATAATCCCTGACTTTCCCTCGGGGGTTTTGCCACATGGCAGTTTGACGGTCCCCAACGGAATTACCCCTCGGCCGCTTATAAATTACATCGAGGTTCGAGCAAGGTTTAAGGGCCTGCTTAAGTTGTCAAAGCAATCGGAGAGTTAAACGCCCCGACACGGGGGCGAGACTTACCCTTAATACTTTTTCGATCGGAACCGCTTCCTCGAGATCGGCCCCCGTCTGAAAATCACTGCTCGATATTTATTCGGTTACGCGATTCTTTTGTGCGTTTCTAGCGTGCGTGAACCTGTTGGTTATTTTAATTATTTGGGGTACGTTGGCATTATTAATAAGAAGATTAAACCTCGACGGACATTTTCTGTTTCTAATTCATCGCTATTTCGTTTAAACAGATATTAGAGATAATTTTTAAATTCTCCAATTGAGAAATGTATAATAACAAAGGAAATTAGAATTATCCTAACCGTGCCATTTCCTATTTTTCTCTCACGCTGTGAAACAACTATAGAAAAATCTAACAAACAATGGGACAAAGGGGTAACGAATAGGTGGCGAGGTAAGTGCACGAAATGGTCGTGTTAGGTGGAAAGGCAGGAGGAAGAACGATGGCAAAATGGTACTCACAGGTATCGAAACCGTTTCGGAATTGAATTCCGTTCGGTCCATATCCGAATCGATTCCTAAAACACGCGTTTGCTTCGTGACGCCGGGAACTTTCAAGTCGAGCGTCCTCGCGCTACGGCACGTAACGAATTTCGATATCCCGTGGCTCTGGCACAAAGAGAGAAAGGGGTTGGAAAGGCGGCGCGGGTTGCCGAGAGGGCATTCGGAGGAGAAAGGATGGCTGGTCATAGTATTGACTCGCTTTTGCGGATGCAGGGGCGGAGTTTTCGACCTCTCTCCCTTCCTCTGCTTCCACCCTCTCTCTACCTGTATCACTCTTCATCCCGCTTTCTTTTTCCTTCTTCGACTCGCTTTCTCTCCCTATAAATATACTCTATCCCGTCCCTCCATCTCCACTCTCCGTCGCACCCTTTCGTTTCCGTCTTCCTCCATCGCGCAGCCAACCGTGCTTCCCTTTATCCACCCTTTCTCTCTCTTTACCAGCCATATTCGTCTCTTTCTCTCACTCACCCTTAGCTACCATATCCGTCTCTTTCTCAATCTCTCGTGTGCCACGGAACAGAGGTTCCATCGCGTCGGTTCTTCGACCCTCTCCCTCACTCTCACCCCCACCCAACGCGAACACAGGCAGCCGGGGTCGAAAGGGGATGACTCGTCGCACAGGGCTGTCAAACCCCCACCCACGCAACGACAAAACTCCCGTTGAAGGGTGACCCAGCAATGGCGGCGGGACTTGTTGTATTTCGCTTTCGAGGTGAGCTCCATTCCCTTCTACCTTCTCGATCCCCATTGCAACCCCTCCGCGGCGACGGCGACCAGGCCGGGGGTAGACCGAGAGGGCTGGCTGAAATGAAACTGAGTGGGTCGGAGTGAGGAAGCAGCGAGACTCGAACACGGTCGAACGGAACGAGACGGAGGAATCGAAAGTGGCGTGGTGCGACGAGGAGAGACGACTAAGGGTGGCTCGAGGTGGAGTAAGAGCGGCTGGTGGCTGGAGAGAGAGAGAAAGAGAGTCTATATCGCTCGGAAACAGCAACCTCCATTTATTTTATTACATTATCATACCAACTAGGCGCTCGATAAGTGGGGCTTTAAAGCGACGGTTCTCAAATCGTTCCGCGTGGAACTTTTGCGACGTGAACTTCGTTGGTCTGCCGACCCTGTAAGTCGATGGCTCATCGCCGAAAAAACGCGGGTCGAAGGTTAATGGGTGCTGCGCGAGAAAAATCTATCGCTGGGTTTAAACGGTTCGTCGTGTTCTACGCTGTTTAGAAATTTGGAAAATTCCCTTCAGTTTTTTCTTCGTAGTTGGAGATAATAAGTATCTCGCTATTCTAGTAGAAAATATAATTAAATGTTTTATAAGATATTTGGACTTTTTTATTTCTCATTTTACGATAATTGGTGTCACTGCTGATTTAAGTCTTTTGGAATAATCCTTTGGATGCACGTTGGAGAAAATTGGGAGGAAATTTGTAATTTTGTATTGTACAATGACAGGTGTAAATACTGTTTGGTATCCTTTAAAATCTCTTTTCCTGTTACTTGTCGGCAAATGAATTGGAGATAATAGGTATTTCGCAACCCCCATAGAAGTTATACTTCAATGATTATTTCCCAAGTTCGATATTTGCAATTTCCTATTTCTAAATGACAAATGTGGATACCGTTTTATTCGTGCATCGTAAGGCAAACTATTCTATTCGACACTGGATTTAGTAGTTCACGAATGACGAGTAGAGTTGGGGTCGTAGGATAGAAGAGTTTCCGTCAAACTTTACGCTGAGAGGATGGAGCGAAGTAAAAGTGGCAATGAGGGCAACAAATACATTTGATTTTCAGGAAATTCGAAGGGTGCGTTCGCTTCGATTGCCAGGGAAAAAAGGATTCGACGTATTTGCCTCGCGCTGGCGCGTCCACGAGAGAGCCAGACCGAATTGTTCAGCCGTTAAGTTGGATTAAAAGCAAAGTCAGCGACGTACGTGTTTCTCTGCGGCCTGTTGTCATTTAATGACCATCGATTATCGTCGCGAATTTAAACGAAGCACGCGCATAATTATGCCGTCGTGTTCCGCAGCTTTGTCGGATTCGTTGGCCGTTGTGAGCACGCGAACGGTTTAATTGAAAACAAGCATTCGACCAGCGAATAAATACCAACCCCCTTTTGTTTGACAAATGCCAAACAAATAATTATAATTCCTCATATAATGGAAAGTATATGCGCGGATCGTAATTACAATTCGTTCGTACATTACGCTAAAATTTCGTCTGATTACCACCTTTCTCGAATAATTAAGATACGAATATCCTTAAAATATTTCAGATTCGCAAGAATTTTCTGAAAATGAAATTTTTCTTATTTACTTTCGTATAATACACTGCTCTAATTATTTAAAAATTGCTCTTCACCGATTCCCCGATCAAGGTTTCAAAATATAGGTGCGTATACACGCGTAATTTTAAATATTTGTAAATTATGAAAATTTAATTTCTTCAAATTTGACGGAGAAAATATACATGCCTATCGTAATTAAATTATTTTGTTATAATTAATAAGAAATTCTTTTCTGGACTTGCAATCCACGATAAAGATAATTTGATTATCTAGGATTTGATTTGAATTAAAATTAAGATGGAGGAATTGTAATAATCGAATACAGCGAGTTGTTAGGGATACGAGAATTTTTAATGAATTTCTCAGAAATGTAAATTTATTACTGTCAATTGGAAGTGACACCCAAGTACCCTCAGTCCATGTTTCACCATGGGGGCAGTCCATTGCGATTTGCAGAGGAGCGTGGAAAAAAATCCCCGCGAATTTTTCACCCGGGCCAGCTTGAACTCCAGAATTCACCAGGCTGGCTGACGTTTAAGAAATCTGATTTTCTTCTCACGTATATCGGAGGATTACCCAAGTATTCGCCTTCGACCGGGACGACCACTTCATTCCAGATATCCACAAACAACAGACGATTCATCCCTTCGATCTTCTTTCTCCCTCCTTTAACCTCGTCTTTTTCGCTTATCTCGAAAGCTGAATATAGTTACATACTTCTTTCTCACGATCGTCAAAGGAACGTCAATTGTATCGTTTGAATTTTAAATTCGTATTAATATTAAATTAATTTCGCGAAATTAAATGAAATTAATATTTCGAACGTCCTCCTGTCATGATTATAATTTTCAATATCTAATTCTTCAAATATTTTTTTAATCTTTTAATTATTAATAGGAGCGCTCTAGTTTATAATAATTCGTTCTACTGCCAGGGGTTATTAAAATCATAGAACAGTATGTTGAGACACAGCACTTCTTCTTCCACATAGCTAGTTTCTTTTGATCATATTTCGGATTAAAATTCGATATTTGACGTAAATGGTGCATAAAAGATACGACACTGTTTACTTTTATGTCTCATCCATATGAAACAATTAGAAATTCAAATAAAATCGAATAAAAATCAGGAATGGTCGTTGAGCGAGTGAAATAATAGGAAAATGTGAGATCGCTGAAATTGTGCAATGTCGAAATAATTAGTTACGGGGCGAAGTGTCATTTGTTCGACGATTGCTCGAGGTAAAACGCAAAAAAGATGCTTCTAAGTGAATGCTCCTGGGAAATGAAGCTGCATCGGTCAGAGGAGACTGTCGGACCACCTTTACCCCCTTGTCCTCCCTTATTCCTCACCATCGTCCTCCCTCTCCCGTAAAATCAATAGGTGCGTCGGCGTCCAGCACGCTAGGAATTCTGCTATATAACCCCGAGCGATTAACTAAAATCGATCAAACGCGACGCGTGTCGAATATAATGAAATAAATTGCACAATCCTGCTGAACTGAATCAGAAGAAACGACGATCTCTGACCAGCTCTGTAAATCGAATTAGCAATGCCAACTTCGATGTTTGTTAAAACAGGGCAGAATCATTTTGGAATATATCATTCATGATTAATTTTAATTTCGTTGTGCTTTATTCAATTTTCACGGTATTTTTTGTATTACCATATATGGAAAATGAAGATACTAGGACAGACACATATGTGAATTTTTGATAAATTGTTTGATCGCAACAGGAGGGTGATCTTATTTAATTATCTAGTGCACGAAATTTATTTTATCATCTCTGATTAGTTCCCTAAATCGAATCAACGATACCAACGTCGATAGTTATTAAAATTGCATACATTTTTTTAGAAATCACAATTTGTTATTAATTTTAGTTTTGACGCATTTCATAGAATTTTGGCAGAGGATTAGACGTGGATAAAATATTCTATACTATGACTTATAGAAAATGTAGATACTTGGACGGAAAGATGTGTGAATTTTGTGTAAATTATTCAATTATAGAGAAGGGTGAAATATTTCTGAAAATTGTACAAAATTTTTTTAAAACTCGTCGCCTTTTATAAAATTATATCTAGATTGTATTGTTTATCTCGTAATTTATAAAACACGAGGATACTCACACACAGAGACTTTTTTGCGTGGATTGTTTAAACGTAAAGGAAGAAAGGATTTCTACAAAATGTCTTATGCAAGAAATTTAGTTTAGAGTGTGGAAGACACGGTCTGACAACTATTTATCCAATTACTGCCACTTCCAGTCGACTAATATTTGCCCGGCGCGTGTCGACAGTTCGTCAACCGTGAAGCTTGAACGACGCTAAGTCCTTTGTCTCTTTTGCGAATTAATTTCAAGGACGAGGACCTTTGTGCCCCGCGAGGGTTCTTACTTCGCGTCGAGCAAACCCAATTTGCGCTTAAACAAGGAGCATCTTCGCATAACTTAGCCTTGCGTGAAATCCAACGTCAAAGGGAGGAAACTTCTCTTTTTCAGGCAGCTCGACCTCGCAGGATTTAGACGGTGAACTTCAAAGACATGCCGGATTGGAGGAAAGAATGCGAAGGCTTTTCAGTTATATTAGAAAGGTTCCTTTCAACGCAAATTACGAACAATTGTTAAATTTTCTGGGTTATTTAAATAAGTATTTTGACGTTCGTGGTTATTATCGGTATTTGCTTTGGTTAGGTTTAGAAATAACTATGGGATATTAATAAATTTTAAGGAATTGAGCAATTCGAGAGTAAATGAAAGATTTATACTTAGATATATATTTGAAAAGTTATTTTTGCAGAATTAGGACAATTTTATAGCGATTCGAAATTTATTTAGGTATACATTTAAAATGAATCCGTGAAGGGTATTGTAATCTTTATATCTTATATCTTAGTATTGTTATATTGTTTAGAGTGCAGAATATAGTATTTAAGTTGTTCAGGGAAATTTTCTTTTAAATAAATAAATATTTATTTTCATAGCAAATGTTAGATATTGTAGGTGCTTTCCTTCTATGGTATACAGTTTGATGAAAACTTTAAAAATTCTTTAAGTTTGTGGTTTTTATTGAGAGAAAGTGGAATGTTGATAATTTTTGCAGTTTAATGAAGTTTATTTCAAAATTTATTTTTCGGTTTTCAGCTCATAATAATTCAGAAATTTTTAGCAAACTTTGTATCTACAGTGGATTCTGTAAGACAGTGGAGAAAGTAGGTCGTGGATAAAGTAGATTTCATAATTTATCTTGTCGATCTGCTGTTCGTGTAAAATTATAGAGGGCACTACGTTACCACTGTATATTCGTGCGAGATGAAAAACCAATCTTTTTTATATTTACATTTAAATGTAAAATTAACATATTAATTGAACTCTATCACGCAAGTAACTTTAACATTTTATTCATTGGAATTTTCTAATCCGTCAAATCTCATTCATGAAATCGGTCATGAGTACTTAAAGATAATATTATGAGTCATAATAATATATGACATAAGAAATACATTAAAACATGATATTTAAAATGTGTCTTCGATTTAAATGTTTATAAACTACTGTTTAATATAACTTAATTGATTAAAAATTCATATTGTTACACAAATTGTAATAATTTTAAATATCTGGAATTTCTGCAGTATTATCACAGACAATAGTAAGGCTAAACGCCTGCAGGTGTCAGCGAGAAAGCAAATGGCGATTAGAGTTAAATGACATTTAGTAGTTAAAAAATTTAATCAACAATTTCAAGAATTTCTTGTGGTAGTTGTTCGATTCGGAAATTTGTATTGCTCGGAATATTACGATCGTGTGTATTTCGTGTATTTTCCCACAAACATTGCAGCGGTTTCGTGCGGGTTTCCTGTGGAAATCGATAAACTTCAAGGGTCAAACGTCGAACTTGCGCGCAGGTTTGCCTGGAAGTGTGTTATTTCTCTCGTAGAGGATCCTACGCGTCAAGATGTCCACGTTGGTGACAGACAAGCTGCTGGATGACATGAATAGCATACCGTTAGCCGACGATGATCCACAAGGTAAGGAAACTTGCGTGCCACGTCTCTGACCTAGTTCTCATGATTTCGGTATTGCATCTTTTCTTGTTATAACCTGTTCTTAGACATCTTGATTCGTGAAATATTTAAATAGCACGTATATCGAACCTTGTTGCTCGAATTTTAAAATCGTATCTTTTTGGTAATAGTTATGGAAAGAATGGTGCAGTAGTAAATTACATATGTAATTAAAATTAATATAGCTAATTATTATCGGAGTATTTACATACGTGTTGATTTCGTCATCGATAAATCGCGAGTTATGCTTTTGGAACTTTTGTAACACAAAATGGAGATATTTGTGAAGTTCTTTTGTGCGGTTAAATAGTTTGTGTACCTTGGATCTTTTTGTTGATTGTGTTCAGAAAGTTTTATTTCTGATGATTTTGTGACACGTGAGGTAACAATTAGAATGATTATTGTTATATGCAGTGATAATTCCCGAAGAGGAAATATTGGATAATAGCTGCCACATATCTGATGCGCTTGGTAGTGGACACAGCATGGATTCTATACCATCTACATTCACAAATGGAAGTTGTAGTCCCAATAGTAAGTCAGACCATCGGATTTTATAATTCCAAACATATCTTTGGATACTAAATGTTGTGTGACCTTAGGTTTAGATCCTGATATAAGCCCAGATGAGCAAGAAGAGAAGGCTAGACTAATTGCTCAAGTGCTGGAACTTCAAAATACGTTAGATGGTGATGAAATCTTTTTGGATTGCATAACTCCTATATGTATATATATTTAATTTACGTAAAACGTTTTATAAAATATTTCTTTATTATTCAGATTTGTCTCAGAGAGTAGACAGTGTAAAAGAGGAAAACTTGAAGCTAAGAAGTGAAAATCAAGTGTTGAGCCAATACATTGAGAATCTAATGTCAGCATCGAGTGTTTTTCAATCTACAAGCCCTAACACCAAGAAAAAGTGAATTCAGGATCATTATATTAGAAAACAAATGTTGAAAAAACAGGGATCTTAAAATAATGTGATCTTTATTTCTCCATGAAAAGTATGTACTTGCGTTTACAATTATAACTGCCTTATTTAATGAGGGGAAAATAAAATTATTGTAGATATAAGATTTTTCAAAATATCGTTTAATATATCACGCTTATTTCGTATTTACACGTTTCATCGATCCAAGTACATACTTTTCAAGGAGAAACATACATATGAAAAAAAGTTTACTCGTTTTCCTTTGAAACACGTATGTGAATCGAATTCGTTTAAATTTCGGATTTATGATTCAAATATGTGTCGAGAAACTCATTGTTCAATCTTTTTTTTAGTCACTGCATACGCTTTTTGCTTGTAAAACGCTTATAATTGTTACTTATTGCCAAAGAATTATATTTTGCATTTGTGCAATTCCTTAATGTCGCGTGTATTCGAAGAATCTCAGTTACCATGACTTAATATCGTTTTATCATATCGACCGATGGTGTTGGTGAAATTTGTATAAGAGATTAAAATATGCAATTTTGATAATGAAAATCAAACGTACTCGTCAAGATTTATAGTTAAGTATCACTTTCTTGGCATTTACTGGTGTACGATTCGTTTTCAGTATTAAGTCTCATCCGTTAACGTTAATTATCGCTTCTCGGCGTATTTGATACTTATAAATAAGATGCAAGGGTAATAAATGTTTGTAGTTACCGTATTTAATCAAACACCAGCGTTTTTTAATTGAAGCTTTCGCTTAAGGGTTTCGATATATGTGTATGCAATGTATGTAGATGTACAAAAGAGATAAGAAATAGTTATATATATATACAATTACATATAAATATAAATATATATATATATATATTACATATGATTATATAATATATTACGAGATAAATTAGCGTTCGTATAAATGCTGCGAGCACAGTGTATACATTTTAAGCGTTCATTTAACTGACTGATTAAAAATTCTATCGACACTTTGCCTGCAGCATGATCGATCAACGATTACTATAATTAAAAAAAAAAAGAAAAAAAAAGGAAAAGATAAAGAAGAAAAAGAAATGTACCGCAATATAAAACTGCAACTTACGATGAAGTTTCAGTTGAAGGGCACAAGCAGAATGCACAATCCCAAATTATTCCATTGTTGAGTAACACAGTGTTATAATAAACATTATATTCTATTGGAAGGCAACGAGATTATTTATTTCCCATAAAAAGTAATTAAGTGCCATTTTTTTTTTTTCGAACTTATGATTTTCGTTGTTAGTAAAAAGTTACATAAAATTGTTACAAAGTTCTCCAACTTACATTTAATATAATGAGTCTAAATTGTCACTCGACTATAATCTCTTCAAATTTTAGTTTCTTTTCTCTCGATTTATAGTCCACATAATTACTATGACCTAATTTAACATACATATAAAATATCGTTCGTAGAAATTATTCTTGTCGTATAGCTAAAAATTGTATCGACTTTTGGCCCCAACTTGTTCTTGATCCTGGTTTCGCTCGTCCATTCTTTTTAATCCCTATCCACCAGCCATAATTCGCGTACTTTTTCGATCGAAAGGCATCGTAGGAACCAACGTTCCATTGTTCCCATTCTGTGTTATCTTTATTTCCATTTGGCTGGAAGAAATTAGAAACAATAAAATAGTATCATAAATCTACCCCTGGCGTGAAAATTATTATCAAAAATTAAGGTACACAAATTGACATAAATTTTGAAAACACGTACAGGTAATTCCTTCGTAAAAAAATTCTTCAAAATTTCTCCAGAGCAGAAATAACACGAATACCATTATTAATAATAATGATCTTACCTCTCCGTACAAACGACCCTTCTTGTTGAAAGCCAAATAGAGACTAGTCTCGATACTTTGTATTCGAATCACACCAAACGATATCGGTATAATGTGAAGCAAGGCTAAAAATGGTTACAAAAAGTGAAAAAAATCTTTACACGTTAATTATTCATCTCTACCATCTAATTTTCACAATGTAAAAATTATATTCCCCATTGCAATTACCATGTGGTTCGTTCGTGGCGCTCAAGCCTCGAACACGACCGGATTCCAACACACCGAGATGGTATCCGGTTCGACAGAACAATTTGATTACCAAACAATTGTACACAGGGTTTTGTGCCGGTTTTCTTGGATCCCATATGACGCAAGGCGAGCGTTTAGCCGATTCCGAAGTGATGTAACGTGGAGTTCTGTAATAGAGAATTCAATATTTAGAGTCTTCGAACACGCACCTGGCATGGCGTCTATAAACGTAAATACCAAGTCTACAAATATACACTTAATTTTAACGTCAATCTTAGACGGCGTAATGTTTGAACAAGTTTTAAAAGAATTTATTTTATTTTTTTCTTTGAGAACGAGGAATAGAATATTTCGATAGTGCGTGAGTTTAATATTCGTTAGAAACGTATTCGTTATCAATAAGTCTGGATAATAGAATGTTCTGCCGTTGTAATGTCGGGGATATTTGATAGTGTCGTGTGGGAGAACATAATAGGATATAAATTAGGTAATAGAATATCGCTTTTTGACACGCTGAAACAATGGCGACGAGGACATGTTACGGTATAATGCAGCATAAATCTGATGCGAAGTGACACCCGGAGGCGTACTATTTATAACATATCATTACGTTTGGAAAAATGGGCCGATCGACTTTTCAGGTCAGCAGGCTTCGTGAATGAAGCGTGCTTCGTTACACCGTAGACGTTTTTCAACCCCGTTAATTTTAAACAGATGCTCGAGGGGAAGGAACGCACTGCGCGATAGAGTTTATTCGACAAGCAGAGCATCGACTAATAATAATCAACTTACTCTTCGTACCAATGAATATATTAATACTTCTTCCATCTCGAGAACAAATTACAGAAACTGAAATTATATATATTCTATACAAATTAATATAATTAGAAACTATGAATACAATAAAAATGATATTATTTAATAACTACTTTTTAAATAATCAAATTGCTGTGATGCAAAATTAAAAAAATTAAACTTCGATAAAAAATCTATGTTCTTCCAAAATACACTATCACAGATTTTTATATATGTAATATAATATAATTATATTATAATATATTATAATAGATATAT